CACTGTATAAACTGAAAAAAATGTTTCAAGATTTTGCTTTCCTTTTCACTGAACTAATATTTAGTTGTATAACCGCTGTTTCTGAGAACTGCTACACATCTGTGTCGACCAACTTCTGGCACCTGTGAACAGGTATTTCAGCCCAGGATGATTGGACTACATTCCACAATTCTTCTGCATTTCTTGGTTTTGCCTCAGAAACAGCATTTTTGATATCACCCCACAAGTTATCTATTGAATTAAGGTCTGGGGATTGGGTTGGCCATTCCATAACTATCTTGTTGCATGGACTGGAACCAAGTTGCTGGTTTACTGGTGTGTTTGGGCTCGTTGTCTTGTTGAAACACCCATTTCAAGGGCATTTCTTCTTCGCCATAAGGCAACAGGACCTCTTCAAGTGTTTTGAGGTATTCAAACTGATCCATGATCCCTGGTTTGAGATAAATAGACCCAACACCGTAGTACAGTATGAGAAACATCCCCATATCATGATGCTTGCGCCACCATGCTTCACTGTCTTCACAGTGCACTGTGGCTTGAATTCAGTGTTTGACCCAAAAAGAACAATCTTGCTTTCATCAGTCCACAAAATGTTTTACTTCAGGCCAGTCAGTGTGTTCTTTGGCAAATTGTCTTCAGCATGTCTTTTTTTCAGCAATGGGACTTCGCGGGGGCTTTTTGCAGATAGCTTGGCTTCACATAGACGTCATCTGATTGTAACAGTACTCACAGGTAACTTTAGACCTTCTTTGATCTTCCTGGAGCTGATCATTGGCTTTGCCATTTTGGCCATTCTTCAATCCATCTGAATGGTAGTTTTCCATTGTCATCCACGTCTTTCAGGTTTTGGTTGGCATTTTAAAGCATTTGTGATCATTTTAGCTAAGCAGCCTATCATTTTCTGAACTTATTTATATGTTTTCTCCTCTCCAGTCAGTAGATCAAAATCAAGGACGAACCGATAAACAGGAAAATGAATGCATCACTTGACTGATGTCATTCATATTACTTTAGAGCAAGAGGTATTACAGAACAATGGCTGATGCTTACAGAACTTTAATACGAGGAATAATTTAGAATGAGAGAACCATAAATATATTAATGTACAGTGACACAAACACATTAAATACACAGAGACACAATAAACAGATGGAGACCATCTAATTTGAATTTCTATTCTTCTATAAAATGATAAATGTCAACATCATTCAGAATGCATTTCAGAATTTTTTTGAAGAAAAAAACGAATGTATCCTGTGATTTATAGTCATTATCCTGACTCAACCTTATGCTACACATTACACAGCATTCTTCATTACTCTCAGACAAACATTATTAATGGCTTACATTAACTTCACTTTTACTGGGCTTGTCTTTGTAAATGACCTTGCTCACAATTACTGCTCAATAGCCGAATCCTCATTAATGAAGAATATATAACTTGTGTGCTACTTAATTTTCTGCTTAATCAGCCATTCAGACTGACTCTTGGCTACTAAAAGCTATATGAGCATGAACGCTTATTGATGTATACATCAAACTGTTATGACCAGTAACGTAATTAAAGTTTACGGTGGGAAAGTTGCTCAGTTAATGCTTACATAGGAGCTATGGAGAAATTTCTTTTTGACAATTTCATCCAAAAAGGCTTATAGTACAGGAAAGAAATACAATTTTCATGTGCTTTTTGGATTTGGATAATGACAAATAGATTGACCCTATTCACAAGGATAAGAATTTAATCATCTCATCCTTCGCTTTGCTGCTACTAAGCACCATTGCTTCAATTTTGGAGCGATTCGTCTCAAAACTTGAAAAAGCCTTTATCTTCAACCTAAAAACATGTGTGCAGAGGTTGAAAAAAAGGTTTATTAGTCATGTATAAGGGCAGTGTGCTGATTGACCTGCTAACAGAACTGGCTAGGTGGGGTGGCAACTGTAGTATTAATAGAAACATGTCTTTTATTGAATTTACAAAAATCACAAGGAAATGCAAGTGACTGCCACTAAACAGTAAATATATTTTGATTTGGCATGAGTCACAGAACCGAAAGTAAAAAGGATTTTGACCAATTATATATTATTCAAAGAGAAATTAGTAAAATGTCAGTTGCACTGGTTTTGTAGGTTTAGAGACACATGTTCAATTGCTGTAGAGCTCCCTATTTACTGATCAGTTCCAAATTTGGAGGGTCATTCCCCAGTACCCTCCTACAGTATATCACGTAGTTTGATGATGATTGGCTGAAGCATGAACGAGATAAAGATATGGTGTGATAGAAATGGTAGTCTGAGTTGTTATGGCATGGCTGCCTATATCTAGAGAAAAAAGAATTTTAACTCTAGGACTAATGGGTCAGAAGATATCTGCATAAAGGATACAGCACTCGCCACTGAGTGTCTGAATTAGGTCAGATGGTCTGAGTAGTGGGTAGGAATTCACATTTTCCCACCAAATTGGTAGGTCTCGGTCTTATGGTTTAGGCTGCCCATTTCATTTTAGGGAAGAAGAAAAAAAAATAAAAATAATAATAATAATAATAAATCCTAACAGAAACAATAGTGGTCCCTAACGATAATTAATATGAAATGAAAATGTGAGAAAACAGTATTACAGTTGCTTACACCCTGCCCTAAAACTGAGTTTCCAACATTTCCAGACTATATAATTTATTCTGACTGCTAACAATTACAGACCTGATATATGAGTCACACTGCCTGGTAAATGTAATTTCCTACTGGATTAAGTGTTCAGTTCAAATTTGTTCACTTTCAGATGAAAAGCTGGGCATGTCTACTGAACTTTATACTGTACTTCTGAATAAATTCCTAAACTCTTCAACTGGAACACTGGAGACTGCTTGAATATAGCTGACATACATAATGAAGTTCTTCAAAATATATGCAGAATACATGAATTATATACAGTAATGACTTTCTTTCATTCCAAAATTTAAACATCAGATTACTTGAATTTAAATACGCGGGCCACCGTGCGAACACTGCTGTCCTTCAGACACAATCTGCATGCATTTCTCTGAACTTAAAAAAGCAACCAACAAAGCTACAAAATATCACAGATACTCACTATGGCCCCGCCTACAGAACAGCACCCTGCTGTGGACACATTGCACTTCGGATGTAACACTGTGAGGGCATCTGTTGAGCTTTTAACTTTAATGCCATGGGTCACTGCTCAAATGCATGTGGGATATCAAAAAAGGTGTATTTTTAAAAGTGTGTTTCCCTATCCTTACTGTTAGAAGTCAAGCAAATTGTTGAGTTATAAGAGCAGACAAGTCAGAAAGAAATATAATCTACTCAGAGGCAATTTTACTTAGTAATATGCAGTATATGTTCTATTCTGTGAAAAGGAATTAATTCTGTATAATTTGAGAGACTGAATAATCTACGGAAATGTAAGCTTGCAGTCTAATGTGAAAACGGCATGAGAAAACTGAATATGAATCATTTAAATGTATTATGCTTCAGGATGTTCAAGCATATGGCCAACCGTGATATGGATGCATGGCGTCTTACCAAATTAAGTGCAACTTAATGAAAGTGTCACTTTATTTTTTTCATACTCAAAAAGCTACCCTAAACTATCAAATAAATAAATTCCATGCAAATGTTTATTTAAATGTGAAAGAGCAGTAAATTATAAATGAAAGCTTATTTAAACTCATGCTTAACTCATATTGATACAAGCTCATGTCAATAAAACTGTCCAACCATTTTCAGCAGTTCCTGTAACATAATACAATAATATTTCGAGTGCATAATTCATTCATTATCAGGATATCAAGAAGACTTTTATTGTTTATTTAAAGCAGCAATGAAACAAATATGCTTATACTTTAGGTCAACTTATTGGAAGATTCATTTGTCAGTCACATAGAAAAATCAATAATATGAAACCCTGAATGTCATACTGTACCATGCTAACCAGATAATAAAATAATGTAAAAATATGTTATAGTAGCTGTAGTTGTCGTACTAATAATAATAAAGAATTTTATTAAACAGAAGAGGTCTGCCACCACATTTCATGCAGATTTCAAAATATTGAAATCATCAAAAAATTAATGTAGCTGAACTGTACGTCTTTCCCTAAACTAAGAAAACTAGTGTTATGCAGTTCAAGCAGTAAATGTCAGTTATCAAAATTTTCATCCACCCATCATCCGGTTCACTCATGCAGTACCGAGTCGCGGGGTGTATAAAAATGCTCTTATATACGGCATCTAAAATTACACAAAGGAAGATATAGTAGGTCTATATAAATGTGCATTGTTGATGAACTTGTACTATAGGCATATTCACGAGGACAGTATAAATAAAAAGAAGGGAGACGGCGGAGATTTCCTATATTTATATCCACTTATGATCGGCATTTGTGGGTGATTAATATCAGTTATCCTGTGCATGATGAGGTTGTTTCCCCAGCGGCCCCGTATAGCCTGGGGCGTCCCCCTGTAGCAGTAACGACTAGACGCAGTATACTGTACTTCAGGGAACAAAACCGCCGCTCCTCCGCATCCGAACACCACGGAGACTGCATCGGCAATGATTCCACCGGCTATCTATTCATCCATACCACCAAACAAGATATTATAATTAAACAGTATGAATAAAAGTCACGCTCATAAGTCATTTCGACTTTGGCCGCAAAACTATTAAAGTAAATAAAAACAACCATGAAAGTGACTAACCTTACAGTCAAACTGTCCCATTGTAGCAGCCTACAGTGAGCAGCATAAATTGATTTCTAGCTGTTTACTGTGTTATCGCATTCAATACTGCACTTGCCTGCATTTTTTTTTCTTGGCATGATTCACACTGAAACGTCACCCGCAAGACATAACAGCCACGTTGCATTTCCCCGTTATTTCTAATAAGAAAAAACATGCGCAAGCTGAAAAGCCATACAGTAAACGTGAGATCGTGTTAATCCAAAATGAAACGCGCGTCGGCTATAATATATCACCAACTCTTACCAATGGCTGCATCTCTGAGTGGACTGTCGGCACTTGAAATCTGTCTATTTCTTCCATCATTTTGGAAGAAGCTCTCCGGCGTCTTCGCTGCGAGGCTGTATGAATAGCGGTCAGCAGTTATGACTTGACTTTGTGTCACAGAGATGTTTGGTGAGAAGGTGTCAGCGGAGATCGAGGATGCTGCTCGCCTGCTTCATGCCAGCTAGCTGCAGCTCGCTAAGATCGCGGCTATACTGCCCGGGAGCGGTGACTCAACAACAAGAGCTCGTTTCCGGGTCCGGGAGCAGCGGCGGGGCGGCCGCCCATGGGGTCAGCGTTTATTTATCCCAGGAACCCAAGGGGGACTATTATTATTATTATTATTATTATTATTATTATTATTATTATTATTATTATTATTATTATTATTATTGTTGTTGTTGTTGTTGTTAGTTTTGTTGTCCAATGTCTAATCCAATGTCTGTTAAAACTGACTTGGGTATCAGTATTATTTTAGTTATTGCTCTTAATGTTTTTCTTTTTTAACTTTTTATTATATCGTGTATTCGTGTATTTGTGTTCCGGTATTTTCGTCAAAGTCTCGCAAGGGTGATAATAAATTACATAATGCTCTTCTTGCTGTATTCGTTAAGAATCCTTTCCTTATCCCACATATATAATAAAAGACACATATAGATATAGGGAACCACATATACGGAATAAAGTATAATCATACACATAATGTACTACAAAAGGTGTGCCGTGTGATGAAGTAGCGTTCGGTCCGTTTGTGACTTGTGCTATGTGGGATCGCCTCCCAGCTCTGTCACTCTGTATTTCCATGCTGGCCTATGCTGGGTGATGCTGGTCCACCAGCAATATTTGATTAATGATGCTGGTTCAGCAGCACCAAAGCGCAATATATGCTGGTATAGCCAGCATGCATTATGCAAGTCTGTACTGGTCTTTCAGCAGGAAGCTGAATTAATGGATGGATGTTAGCTCCCTTCTGATATCTTTAAAACATAAATACCGGCCCTCACAAGGACAGCTGATTATAAGATGTATGGATGAATGGATGTAAAAACAAATACATAATCATAAACGTACAATTATCAATATGTACAATAATCCAGTATATACATATAAAATTGCCCCTTATTTTATTGCAAATTATTGAATAATTTGTAATTAAGTTAGTGTGTGTGCGTGTGTTTGTGTGTATATGTGTGTGTGTGTGTGTGTGTATATATATATATATATATATATATATATATATATATGTGTGTGTGTGTGTGTGTGTGTGTGTATGTTAAGCGTTAAGCTGAGTTAGCTAAAAAGGATATAGCCCTGGTTGCCATGGTAACCACTGTCTACAGACACTTAGTTGATATACAAGGCAAGCGGCGCATTTGCTCTCCATAAGACAGCTAAATTACATTATTACGAAAAAAAAGTACTGGTTTTCGCATATTTAGTGAATGTTAAATGAATGTTGCTTTGAAGAGTAAAAGGGACAAGTTGCTTTTTTGTTTTTTTACCCCGAAACCGGATTAACCAACTTCGACACGATGCCAGTTCCGCAAAGAATGGGACCTGTAAAACCCAAGCAGGTAGATTTAATATATTTGCAGTTTAAATGAAGTCCAAAATAAAATAAAATATACAGCATGCATTTTTATTTTGTTTGAAAAAACATTTTAACGTTTGTTACGGCGCTACAGTTTTATGTAAAAAAAAATTAACAAGACACCATGTAGAGCTACCGGTGAAGTTATAGATTTGCAAATGAACTTAACCTAATCTGCGATATCTGCAGGGTTCAAACGTTCCGTCTCACCTAACAAAGATACCGACCGTAAAGCTTACCAAGAAAAAGGTGTGTTCTTATTACACGAGTATGTGTGTGTATTGATAACATACAAATGTATGAAAAATATAATCTGCCATATTTACACATATTCTTTGGAAGAGTTTTCAATTTTGCGTGTGTGAAAGGATGAGGATGACGGGACGGAGATGGCTGATGGCACAGACGAATGGACACAGGGAAAGACACTTATCAAACCCCCCGACCAGCTTGATCTCAGTGAAGCGGCAAGTTACCTTTAGCTGGTGCTTGTAAATGATCGCATATCATTTGCATGGTTCAGTATGAATAATTAGCAACACCGCTCGTAATGACAGATTGTTAGTAAATGGGAGGAACTGTGCATCATATTGTTTTAGATTCAGTATGTATTCAAAACTGTGAAAGTACTATGCCAGATCTGCAGAGCTAGGTGTTATGAATAGACATGGCTTTTGACAGATAGATGGTATAAAATGCATGAAACAGAACAGAGAAAACATACTCTTTGACTCAGTTGTTTATGATAGATCTAATAACTATGAATATTCAAGAAGAAAATGCAAGAAATAAACAATACGCTAATAAATACACTACACGCATATTTTAGTGACGGTTGCTTTGTTTAAAATGCTGCATGTTTTCTTTTAATGTAATTTTGTTCATTTTAATTTATGTGAGATATATTTAAACATTACGAATATGATGCCATAGCGTGCTGTGACTTCTCATATGTCTTCAGGAGCTCAAAGAGGAGTTCACAAGGATTCTGACTGCGAACAATCCCCACGCGCCACACAATATCGTCCGTTACAGCTTCAAAGTGAAGTATCAGTTTTTGTTGCCCATCATTTCAGAATATAATCTACCAGGCTGAAAGTTTACAGTATTATAGTTTCTGTCCTTTTATACTAAATTATGATTTATTTCGGTTTCTTTTTCTACACATTAAAATTAGGAATACCATAAATGTCTTTCACACAGTAACTAGCTGGCTGATTTTTCCATCTTGTCAATAAAACATAAATTATCCTCTTTCTGTGGCTTCCCCTATCACTCTATTTGTACAAGTGTTTCTTTTTCCTTATTTTTCCACAGCCTGCATATCTCACGTGTACTGAAGCATATTTTCTTTGGTGTTTTTCCTAATATCCAATTGGATTGGGTTCTTGTAGGAGCGCTCATACAAGCCAATCAGCAATGTCGACCATCTCTTTGGTGTTTTTCCTAATATCCAATTGGATTGGGTTTCTTGTAGGAGCGCTCATACAAGCCAATCAGCAATGTCGACCAGCTGGCTGTGCACTTGGTGCTTGATGGGAATCTGCTGCACCAGGACTCTGATGAAGCCTGCAGACAGAGAGCCAGGCAGGGCCTGGAAAAGGGTAGGATGGGGCACACTCATACACACCACACCAGAGGCCCAGATGCACATAGCACCTCCTAAGTAGCGGAACAGGTTATTGGCCATAATGTGGATAATTTATCAAAGATTTGCAGGAATCATTAAATAAGCCTATAGCAGTACATGTTTTTATTCAAACTAAAATTTGAGAATTTTAACTTAAGTATATATTTTAAAGGTCATTTCTTGAAAATACTTGCTGAATGGTTTTCTCTGGATATGTGACAGATGTTTTCACATAGAGAAAAAAGAATAATGTCATTTTTTAAAATTTCAGGAAATATGCCAGTTGAGTCCACGGTAGCGGAAATGGACAACGAAAGACCTGATACTCCGGTACTAGCTAAAATGTATTGTTTTATCTGTCTTATGTGTTGAAATTAAACAGGTATTAAAAGGTAAAGCCACAACTTAAATTGATGGTCAAATAGAGGAAAGCCTCATTCCCCTCTCTGCAGTGATGAGCAGTGGAGATTTCACTGCAGCTTCTTTTTTTCTGATGCTGTTTATGTGTCTCTCTTAGTTTATGGATAAGTGCTGCGTGTGGTTCTTTGGCAGGTATTTGGGGAGGGGGTGGCTGAAGAGTTTGGGGCCGAGGAGAGACCAGACAGCGCAGAATCCAAGAGCACAAGGAGGGAGCAGAAGTTGACAAACCAGTTCAACTTCAGTGAGAGGGCATCCCAGACTCTCAATAATCCATTGAGGGTAGGTGCCAGCTGCTTATCCAGTGTAATGATTCAACAGAACTGTTTTGAATCTTAGCTGTTGCATGGTGGTTCATAAAAGAGGGAAGCTAGGGAAATTAAGCATTATAATCTCGGAGCATAATCATAAGAATGTTTTCTGATAAGTCTGTCAAGTTTAGATTGAGCTGGGATGGGTTGTGTCAACACAACAGAAACATAAATATGAAAACTAATCACTGGGTTAATGCATCTGGTTTAATAAGGGAGATCATTATCATCATCATTTTCCTGCCACTTCTCAAAGTGAGGGTGACAGTAGCAGCATTCTGAGCACGTCAGACCAAACACTGTTTTTCCAGACTAGTTGGTTGGTTTCAGGGCTTGAAATTGGTATATATTGGGATCCGGTTTTTGGGGGGAAATGAAAAAGACCAATATACAGTATAGACATCACTGAGACAGCTGGTCCCCTCTCATACAAATGTAGCTGGTGAAAATATAAGATTTTCTTTAACAATCAAATGTATAAACGAAGTGCAGGCAATGCTAATCTCTCACTGCACAGTGTGATCTGTAGCGCTGGTTTTAAAATGTCTTGCTTTCTTGCACACATTTGAAAATTTAAATAATGCCACGTTGACGCCTTTTGTTTCTTTATCTTATAGCTGTTTTTGGGCTGTTATATTTTAAGGGTGTATATAGTGTTTTTTATAATTTTGCTCATTAAAATATCAAAGAACAACTAGAATTTATATGTGCAGTAGTTCTATGTAAATTTGCAATTGTGTCTTCTGAATTTGACCATATGGCTCCTAAAATGACTTTAATGTTGAAATGCTGCTGATTATAATGTTACAGTTATGTCTATGACTGGTTAATATGAACATGTACAGTATATACGATGACTGGAGGACAGGGTGTGGCTCAGAGGGTTCTGTTCTGTACTGTGAGGTTGTGTTCTCCTGTACTGTGACGTTGTGTTCTCCTGTACTGTGATGTTGTGTTCTCCTGTACTGTGATGTTGTGTTCTCATGTACTGTGACGTTGTGTTCTCATGTACTGTGACGTTGTGTTCTCCTGTACTGTGAGGTTGTGTTCACCTGTACTGTGACGTTGTGTTCTCATGTACTCCTTATGTTTGCATGGGTTTCCCTTCGTTACTCTAGTTTCCAGTCACAGTTTTAAAAAAAAAGGTTTCTCTAAAAGTCCCAAAGTCTGTATACTGTGATAGGCTGGCAATTTGTCCAAGGGCCTTCTGGGTAAGGGAAGGTAGAAAACCACTAAAGGGATTTATTTGATTAATCTTTTTTGTCCATTGCAGCAGAGAGAATGCCAGACAGAACCTCCTCCCAGGGCTAATTTTTCAGCCACCGCCAATCAGGTAAATATTAGACCAGGTAACGTGTGACATGGCACTTAAGTAATAACACTTGTACCCTTGCTGTACCCTTGAGCTCTTACCCTAAATGGCTTCAGAATGCATAAATGGAAAAACTCTAAAATTGTTGCTTTTCACTTAACCTCAGGTCTTAACATAACTCCATCTGTTACAGCGCCATCTGTCTTTAACAGTGTAAACCATTCCGTGCTTTGTAGTCCTTTATTCGACCATGACTGCCCAGACCTTATGTGTACAGAACCTAATGTAAATACTGGAACTGAACCCCTCTCAGGAGACATTTGTGTCAGAGCAAACATGTCACTTTGTGGTCACTCTAGCTAACACACGGTGGATCAGTTGTAATAAAGATAATTCTTCTTTCTGTTTGGACAGGGTTTTACTAGCACAAATCATTGCAGTCTTTAGCTAGATCAGTTTTTGCTACTCCGTCTCACTAATGTCTGACTCCACATGAATTCTGAGTCAATTATGTGTCAGTTTTGCAGTGGGCTAACAGGCCCATTGTGAGTAACTCTGCTTGGTTTTGGTTTTCTCTTGCAGTGATGTTTCTGTGGCTAGCCCATCAAAAAACATTAAGAGTGTATTTTTTATTTATTTAAATACTATTTTTTTTCCCTTGAATAACAAATACTAAAATTTTATTGAATGTATTTCAGTGAAGACATTCACTGCGATTAGTATCACAACTTATCCAAATTTGTAGTACCTAGGGGATATTGTCTATGCACTCATGGACAATAAAATAATACTCATAGATATGGGGTTAATGCATAAATATGTTACTGTTTTGGTGGTTAGTGCAGTCGCTTCACACCTCTGAAGACCAGGGTTCGATTCCAGGGAATTTGCTTGTTCCCCTGTCTTCATGGCATTTCTTTCAGGTTTGGCAGTTTGTCCCACAGTCCAAAAACATGCTTAGCTGAACTGGAGTTGCCAAATTGTCCCTAGGTGTGAATGGTGTGTGTGCCTTGCGTTGGGTTGTTGGCTCACCTTGGGTTATTCCCTGCCTTTTGCCCATTGTTACTGGAATAGGATCTGGACCCATGAACCCTTTATAGGACAAACAGTGTAGAAAATGAATAAATGTTCTAATTCTCTTTACTAATTGTCTTTGTAGATCAAAAGAAATTTTGATGTATATTACAGCAAATTAATGTACCTTTTAAGGTATAGTGTGTGAAAAGAATTTAGCCAAAATTCTCCGGCTCATTTCCACGACAGAGCAGTTAGCATAGGGCTTTACTTATGTGTCTTTCAGGATTAGTCAACATGTAAGGAGAGTTTAGATGTCAATAAAGTAAAGAATAGATTATGAAGATTATTATTTGAATTGAATGTATATTCTAAATTAAAAAGGAAAAGGTAAGTGTTAAAGCGGAATTGCAGTATCCATGTATTAGTACAGTTTGTATCGGTCTGGCTGATGTTTTCCTGCAGTGGGAGATATATGACGCCTATGTGGAGGAGCTACAGAAGCAAGAGAGGAACAAGGAGAAGCATAAAGCCCAGTCTATGAAGAAGGAAGAAGAGAAAAGCAGGAAGAAGACAGCAGTGGTCGAGACACAGGTTGGATGCTCAGACTTTACAGGACATTATAATAGAACTGATAAAAACTAGGATCTGAATATTTAGCCTTATTAACGTCTTAAGTTTTTTTCTATTCTATACTAAACATATAGAATCTGTTAATCATTGATCTAAGTATATCGATAAGTATATCAATAAGGGATGTGCATCTCCATCTCTGATGCAATACACATCTTGATGCATTGCCAACAATGCAATACATTAAAGATACATATGAAGCAATTACTATTGGGACACAATACGATTCACAATCGTATTGTGATGCAGTGCGACACAACATGATAAGTTTTGATACATCGCCAGATGCAACTAATAATTAAATATTTATTTAACCCTGGCTGTGTGCAGCTTCCTGCTCAATAACTCCAGTGGACAGGGCAAACCAAGCCCGGGACCCTCCCGCCATAGCACTCTGCGTTGTGTTTTTGTATGTTGGTGATGTGACATGGAGTGGTGAAGGAGGTGCAGACCAGGCCTGGGAGCCTCCTGTTATGTGACTCTGCATTGTGTGTTGGTATGTTGGTGATGTCATGTGGCATGGTGAGGGAGGTGCAGACCAGGCCCAGGATCCTCCTGTCATGGACCTCTGCATTGTGTTTTGGTATGTTGGTGATGTCATGTGGCCTGGTGAGGGAGGTGCAGACCAGGCCCAGGATCCTCCTGTTATGTGACTCTGCATTGTGTTTTGGAATGTTGGTGATGTGACATGGAGCGGAGAGCGAGGTCTAGGCCAGGCCCCGGACCTTCCCATTGTTGGCACTCTAGTTTGTTTGAGTATGTTGGTGATGTCATGTGGTGTGGTGAGGGAGGTACTGGCCTAGGTGCAGCATAGCAGCAGTAACCACGGTGACAGTCTGACTTCAGGTGTTCTGGCTCAGCGGGGAGTGCAATATGATGGGAGAGGAGTGAATACAGTCTGGAGGTGGATCTGACGTAAACAATAAAATAAAACTGAACACTCGGTTGTTGACCTTAATCTAAAAATATATATATATATACTTAAAGAAGAAATTGCAAATCAAAAAACAAACAAACTTTGGACTGTTAAAGATTTCCCATAAACATAAGAATGAGTTGGCGATTCCTCTTCCTTCACAGACAAAAAAGAGAGCTTGCTTTTGCATGCAAGCAGTTTGCAATAGTCTCAAATTAAACTTTTCAATGTTGGCTCCATAAAACAAAATTATAACAAGTAATATTTAACCAGTTACTGGCTTAGTCATAGTTATTTGCCGCAAAAGATCTTCCTGCTAATGAATTTTACCATAGCGAGCACCGCAACTTAAAAAATATATAATTTTGAAAACCACTATACATATTACATTTAATCACTTATGTACATGAGAGAATCGACACCTGCGTCTTTATGTGTCAATTTTCACCATTTTTTGAACTAGGTACAGTTTCAACAGTACTGCATTATTTTCCTTCTTCCTATTCACGTTTTTTAGAGTGATGACATCACAAATGTTGGACGGGCAGCGAAAATCATGGAGCGAATGGTAAACCAAAATGCATTTGATGACATAGCACAGGGTACGTCAACCACTGGTTGTTTTTAACAGTGCTATATAAATATAAAGATTGCTATATAAATACAATGATTTCATTTAAGTTATGTTAACGATTTCTTTTTTACATTTTATTGTAATGATTTTTTTCAAATAAGTCTGTGGTTTTGAAGATCTATAAAACAGCTGCTTGAAACATTTTATTAATGAGAAATAAAATTCCCATAAAGCCTCTTGAAATAATGTTAACTCCACAGTGAGAAAAGTATAATTATAATTGTTTATGCTGTTTATTTGCCTGACTTGAATTAGATAAGGTAATGAATTTGTTGTCTTCTCAGATTTCAAGTATTTTGAAGATGCTTCAGATGAGTTCCGGGAACAGGAAGGAACATTACTTCCACTGTGGAGGTTCCAGTATGACAAAGCCAAAAGGCTGACTGTGACTGCCCTCTGCTGGTGCGTTCAGGATGTCCAACCAATTCTGTGCCACTCTTAGAACATAATATCAGCGCTACCAAAATATAAGAGGTTTACAATGTGCTGTGTTACAACTGAAATATTGTGTCAAAAAACAATTTCCTAGAAAAAAAGGAAACAATATTTAAAAAAACAATATTTATGATGTGTTTTGTACATTTATAGCAATTGTTCTCTTTTTCAAGCTTGGTTTATGAAGTAGTTCTTTGTCGTTACTTAAGTTAACTGTTTTCGAAATATATTCAGCTGTCACGTCAGTGATGTTTTCAGCCTTTCTCAGGTCTGACACATCATTGTATGTTACAGACATGTACTATGCACTTTAAAATATATTAAGACGGAATACAATATTCATTGCAGCAAAGTCATATATATATTGTGTCTATTTCTTGCAACCTTAATTAGGAAAAATTTAGGAAATGCTTATGTACACAATGAATGCAGGGAAATGAATGAACAGTCTATACAGTGTTTTTTTTACGTGTTTTTATTCATTTTAGGAATCCAAAATACAAAGATTTGTTTGCTGTTGGTCTTGGATCCTGTAAGTATCCAAACATGTATAGTTAATTTACCCAGCATTTACCAAACATCTCTTTATTAAATATTTGTTTTTCTGTTCTATTTGTAGACGACTTCAGCAAACAGGGTCATGGAATGCTGATTTTCTACTCGCTGAAGAACTCCACCTTCCCAGAGTACATTTACCCCACCCTCTCTGGCATCTTGTGCCTAGACATCCATAGCTCTCTGTCCTACCTGGTGGCTGTAGGCTTCTATGATGGCAGCGTGGCTGTTTATAACCTCAAGGAGGAAGATGACGAAGCTACGTACAGGAGCACCGCCAAGTCTGGAAAACACACTGATCCTGTGTGGCAGGTAACTGTGGGAAATCAAACTTTGGTCTCTCAGTCTTCCTTTATTAAAAACAAAGAAGGACCGATGATTACGATCTCAGCTGATTTGATGGAGTACACAGTTAACAAGCCAGCCAGTTTGGTAGACTTAAATTAGGACAGTCATGCATTCTTTCGGTTGTGTTCATTGTCTTTAGGTTTCATTTGCTGGTAACCACTGACCTGGCAGATTGGGGGAAGTTGTTGACCCCCCTACTAGACATCATACACTGAGATGGGTCAGGCACAGTTGTGAAGTTGTTACCATAAGGGTTTCAGAAACTGCATATATATATATTCATGTAGTTACCATATCTCTTACATGGTACAGGGTTCCAGTTAACCTGGAGCCTCTTCCATAAAAGCAGAAAAACTGGATTACTGGGAGAGCTCCCAGTGCATCAGTGTAGCCATTGGCCAATAACCAAAAATATTTCCCACTGGGACCAAAAAATTGGTGTGGAGATGGAGTGAAAACCCCAACCCTAGAGATGTGAGATTGCAGTGCTAACCATTGACTCTCCTCACAGCCTTGACTGCATATACAGTATACATATGTATTTTAAATCAGGTGAAATACATCAGTTCAGACACATGGGGGCAGTCTAAAGACTTCCCTCAATTATTAAAGCAGGTTATACTATTCACCAGTATACAACAAACCTACGTTCACGTATTTAACAGTCTCTACTGTATGTCCAAAGCTACAAAAAAGTCAATCAAATAACACATTACAAACATGCGGCTGTCAAGGAGTTGACTAGGCATAAGTGCAGCTAGGCTGAGCTTCCAGTGAATGCCCAGGTAGATGTGTATGCAGTGTTGGAGGAGTTACACAATATCTTCCATATAAAACAATACATTAATAAGGCTATTATTTAATGAGCAGAAAGTGCCGCATTCAGGGAATGCAGAGTGGTGTCAGGTTAGAAGAGGCATTCATGGAAATCATGGGTCTTGAAGGTGGAGAAGAAATCTGATGGCCAGATGTGGTTCAGCAGCTGATTCCACCATCAAGCTGCCACACATGAGAAACGTCTGGAGTGAGACTTCCGATATGGTGGAGGGATCTCCAAGCTGATCAGGCATGATGGAATATACATTTAAGGAGCCTCTTGATGGAGATGGGTGCCTGTCCATTGATGGACCTGTAAGACAACATTAAGCCCTTGAACTTGATATAAGCATAAGACTCACAGATTCACGTGGGTGCAGCGGCATTAAAATTCATGATGCAAGAGGCCTGATTAAAAAAGTGCACATTGGACACAATTTGGGATGAACTCTGGATATGTTGTTTCTAACATCTTTGCATCAGTAAAATGTAGAGTAGTGAGTTAAATCACTTTGCTGTATTAATTTAGTATAATTTATTTAATGTTTTTGGGGATCATTATGCTTCCAGACCACAGAAGGACATGTCTTTTGTCGCAATCCTGCTTGTGTTTGTAAGCTGTTGCACTTTTGTGTCTGTGTTTGGCAAGCTAAAACCAGTGTCAGTGCCTGCTATGGTAAAGTTAGCTAGCAGCGAGTTATTTGGGGACAAATAAGCATAACTAAGCCAGTAACTGGTTAAATATTACTTGTCATATGTTGTATTTGCCCATCTTTTACGGAGCCACCACTGAAAAGTTTAACTTGTGACTATTATAAACTGTTGCACCCAAAAGCAATTGAGAGCAGAAAAAAATGAAATCATCTGTACATTTTACAGATTTTCTCAGCTTGATTTAGTATTTTGTGGGAGTGTTAAACTAATTTAATGCATTTGTGGCCATGAAAAAAAAAATGTCTGTGGCCCTTCCAGGACTCTATATATTCCATTAGTGTATCTGCTACAGTTTTTAGGTCACAGAAAATGTTGAGGAATACATACGGTACAATATAAATATTTAGGCATATAAAAATATGAATAATATAAATGACATTTTAAAACATAGACATTAAGACATTCACTTGGAAATACAGGTGGGGAAAGATTCCCCCCCTATTTGGTGGGGAAAGATTCTGCAAATTGGCATGTAAGTGGAATATGCAATAAATGAATAGGTGTAGTTTCTAAGAAACAGGTCACTACTAGAACTCATTCCGATAAAAGCACATTTATTAACTTTCATATCTCCAGGTGATCCATCCAGTACTTCTAGAAATTGTACAGGTTGGTGAGTGTGGGATGAGTGAGAGGTGGAGCAAGTGACGGAATTGTTGGGGAAATTATTGTTTCATTAATTTGTTTGAATTTTTGGGCTTTTTAAATATTTTTAATTCTATTTCATAAGTAACACCATTTGCTACTTGTGTTGAACATTAGTATAGGCTACTGTAAAAAGAAAATTAAATCTATTTTTTTAGCAGCTTTCGAGGAATTACCTAACTGTCTCAATGGTCTTTAAACAATTGCAGTTACTTTAGTGCCCCGTGAATGTGTCCTGTAACTATATTATATAAGTTTAAAAGCTGGGTTGTATATTAAAATGACAAAAAGTAAAAATGCTTGCTTTCTAACCAGTGTTATAAAGGTGCTACAGTAGATTTCCTTAACATGTATTACATTCACCACTAAAAGTGAATGGAGTTTTTGTAATAATGCAGATGTTATATTTATATAACATTTTCCCTTTTAACAAATTTGATTTCTTCCGCTTACATGTTTTCTGAATTTTGATTTCATGTTATATTTTTAGCATAAAGCCAATGCAGTTTCACTCAGTGTTAGATGTTGTTTTTTATTTTTTGAATTTTATATTGCATTCATTGTTTTGCGTGAATTTTAATATGACAGCTTTCTTATTGTTGCATTTCTGATGCTTAATGTTGCAGGTGAAATGGCAGAAGGATGATATGGACAACAATCATTGTTTCTTTTCTGTGTCATCTGATGGCCGTGTGGCATCTTGGACTCTTGTGAAGGTGAGCAGAAATAATTTTGTTCTACGTGTCTAATTCATGGTGTGTTATTTTAAGTTTAATTATTTGAAGGACAAGAACTAGTTTTCAGGTCACCAGATATTTTTATTCTGTTCTCCTGAGAAATATTAACCATATAGATGACACTGATTAGGTCATTTGACTGAAAGCTAAGATTAAAATCACTGCCTCTCTGCAGATGTCTCTGTACATGTTACGATGTTTGCACTTGTGATGTTGCAGAATGAGTTGCTGTTTACAGACATCACCAAGTTGTCAGTGGGAGGTGCCACGGTGGAAAGGTCAGAGGAAGCACGACATCTGACCATGGGTACAGATACCAGCCAAGCCTTGTCACAAGCTCAGACACATAGTGATGCTATGCTTCACTATAAGGCATATCTTGCTACCTGATTGGAGACAGGGTCATGCTATACTGAACCTCCATCTTTCCCTTCATTCCTATATTTGAATTCTCCCAAAGGGGAATACATATAATTATGGGATTGTTCCAATGTTGCAAAAAACCCCAAACTTGAAGCAGCGTTGCATAGTGATAGCAAAGAAAACAGCAGTTTTGACATTTGATCTTACACCGATAACAGAAAATTTATTTTAAGGATCTTTTTCAATCTTTGTAAACGTATTGCTTGGATGAGGAACTGGAATTGATCAAATTTTGAGAAAACCTATGCCAAAATTGAAGGTGCTTCATGGCAGGAAAAGGACACATGATACCATTAAGGTGATAGCTCAAAAAGTTTTTGATGAATCTTTTTCTAAATTTGCAGAGGCTGCTGAAGTGGAATTGGTTAAATTTTGAGACATTTGACATTGTAAATGTGATGTCAAAAAGTATTTCATGGATCTTATTAGCGGTTCACAAAAACATTAGATGGATGAAAATCTACGCCCGATTTCATTCTGAGACAAATTGCCCCAAAATCAGGAGCACGTTGTGGCAGCAAAGGAAGGAATGGCCAGCTGTAGAAGATACTTTTTCTTCTGAACACAGTAACTTTAAGTATTTTGCAGACCCTTTTTCAAAAGTTGTCACATTGTATAGGTGACAAACTAAAGGTCTTCAAATTTTGAGAAACATCGCAACACAATTGAAGCAGTACCACGTAATGATAGCGTAGAGAAGGCCAGGTCAGACACTTGATCTTGTCAGCATGATACTGTAACTCGAAAATTATTTGGCCGATCTCTTCCAAACCTGCAGACGTGTTGTGTGGCTGAGCACCTGGACCTGTTCAAATTTTGAAAGAAATCTCACGAAAGGAATGGGACTTAATGACAGCAAAGAGATGACTGACGTAGATAAGATCACTGCATTTCAAACTTTGGGGTATAAGATGATTTTCTCAATGTTCTAAAACAAAGTTTAAATTCTTTGTCCTTCACCAGCCCCCTGCTCAGCAAATGTTATCGGTTGCTGTTTGATAAAATTCATCATGGGGAAATTGGTGAAATTTATCGTGGGGGGATTTAATCGTGTCACCTTAACCCCAGTCCAAGTCAGTGGTGGCACGTGAAACAACAGGTGCAGCTCTTGTGAACCTGATTATATTAAGACAAGTCACACAAAATGCACCAGGGTTGCCAGATGAATGGTACTGTATGACTCTAAACTAACATCCTAAGTTTAGCTCTCAACTATGTATATATGTGTATGTCTGAAAAGGAGCGTGATTAAGTAAGAGTTAATGCACGACAAGGCGAAGGCGTAGAAACTTTGTGGAGTGCGTTTCAAAACGTGAAATGCACACCTTGCAGCATATTATCCCTCTTATGCCATGGTTATCACACATTTGGCTACCTTGTTTGTACTTGCAAACATTATTTTCAAATTTTCAAACTGAAAGGACATTAGTAGAACTGCTGCTTAGCCTTGGGCAGTATTAGGGTAACAGGGCATACCAAGGTATTTCCTTTCAGTGAAACTCTGCCTTGGTGACATTCGCCTTTTATTACCAAGATTTCAAAATAACAGAAGAGTGTTGCTTTTTATGTCCAGGGAATACATTGCAATAATTCCGACCAGCATCCTTTTTAGGTTTAAATAATATTAAATTTTAAAACCTAGTTCTCCTTAAAAGCGTACTGTACTGGCTTTTGCACACTACCACAGGGTGATGCATAAATAAATCTGTTCCAATGACATACATTTTATTGTGATACATTTTCAATCGCTTTATTCTTTAAATTTCAAATAAATAATGGAGACCTAAGGGGGGCTGAGCCAGTTGAGCACGCACTGAAGTGATACAAAATATTTTATATTGCTAGAGGCAGCTGTGATAGGATGAGCCTTATGTTTTCATGTGGAAAGTGTGCTGTGAGACATTCTGTTTCAGTCCTCGTCTCTGTGTGCAAAATATGAATATAATTCCTATTTTTGCACTAAATGTATGTTTGAATTTCCCTCTGGGATCAATAAAATTTACCTAATCTAATACCTCAGATTCAGCAGGCTCTTCTGCGTAAGGATTTATGATAATTTTGTTATTCTTATAAATATTTTCTTTTTTTGTAGCGTGTGGGACATCATTTGATTTCCATAAGAAAATTGATTACCTCTTTTTAGTTGGTACTGAAGAAGGAAAAATTCACAAGGTAAGAAATATTACCTGAACACTCTAAGCTTTTCAGCAACTTACGTAAATTGTTTTTACTTACTCTATGAAACTCACTTTAAGCTGTATTTTTGATGTGCAATTTCTATGAAAACATATAAATCAAAAGTAGAATATGAGAGCTAGAAGATGTAAATCCATGGTATAAATCCAAATGAACTGCAGTTTCACTGCCCTTATACATATATTTGTGATATTCAGTATATTTGAGCATATTATTAAACTCACCAAACAGATAAATATTTTGTTTTTGATTAGTACACTGCTAAAGGGCATTTTTACTGCCATTGGTTTACGGTGATCTGAGACTCTTTCCAGCTTTCTTTCAGATCGAAGTATGTGTTAAATAAGCGATGCCCTTTGATTGTAATTGCTCTCCATTTGGCAGTACCAAGCTGCGAGAACACTTATTGTAGTGTTTACTTTTACACATAAACATTTGTCAATTAAAATGTATCACATTTTTTTGTTTGTTAAATTGTGCACTTCATTTTTGGGCATGTGTTTCTGTGTATGTGTGCATAACAGAACCACTAACAAGTGTACTAGAATGTGTCAAATGTACAGTCATGTAAATTGTAATGTAAACAGTGTCGCAATGTCGGAAATGTAAATTTTGGTCCTGGCAAAAGACAATTTCTCAAACACAGATGAATGCCGAATGTGTACATTATAATGCAGGAAGATGCATTTTCATGTTATGTACGGTTATTTGGAATGCAGCAGAGATTTTCATATTTGCCTGAAGCGAGGGAAGGTTGTGAATCCGCAAACCTGCATTTCTTCTGTCTCATTAGGGTGACACTGTCTGCCGTTCACCCTGACAGCCCATCCTGAAGCTGTCAGGCTGTCATAGTCTCACACAGACAGCTGTGCTTCTGACTGAGATGTCGCTTTGCCAAAAGGGTCTTGGTCCTAATGCTTTGCTTCTCAGGCTAGCATGTAGAGCCTGGTCATAGTGTCAACACAACACCCGTCCTTGTCAGGCTGCATTATTGTCAAATTAACCTTGTCTGAAATTCCTGCCATACTTGTCTGCCTCTCTCTCACAGGATCACCTCTGATATTCAGTCGCAAGATAGAGAGATGCACTAACCAGTGAAAAAGAAATCACATCAAATGTAACAGCTGTATTGCTGACAAGTCATCCTGGTCACATGATCAAATGGGCTACAGCAGCTGGAACTGATCAATCAAAGCTTCCCAGACAATTAGCACACATTAGTGGGTTGCATTAATGTCACCTCATGGAAGGAACAGGAAAAAATCAAATCCCTATATTTGTGGGCCTTTGCGCATCAAATTCAGCACCAGAATGTTCTTTTAGTGACACTGTTGTCATTGCTATGTCTGGCATTGTTTGTTCAGGCATACAGACATTGCTGCCCTCATATGAAGCCATAATCCATCAGCACTACAGAGCTGCTAACCAGGATGTCTTAGAAATCATCTTCATCATCTGTTTCATTGTCTTAAGGGCTGTTTACCTAGTCTTCTCAACCAATTGTCTTTCCAGTGCTCCAAGGCCTACTCAAGCCAGTTCCTTGAGACCTATGATGCTCACAATATGGCTGTGGAAGCAGTACGCTGGAATCCTTTCCATCCAAAGGTCTTTATCTCGTGCAGCTCTGACTGGACCGTCAAGATCTGGGACCACACAGTAAGGTATGCTGACTACAGTATGCTTCGCTACTCATGTATATAGGATAGACCACATATGCCAAACTCAAGGCCTACGGGCCATATCTGCCCTGCAGCACAATTCTTTATGGCCCACCAAATGATTTTCTGCTTGGCCCAAAAATAGGTGTGCAACTGTATGCAAAATTCATGGTTCAGTACATACCTTGGATTTGGATTTTACGTTTTGGTTCAATATCAGTACAGCAGGGACAACTGAATTTATTTTTAAATGATTTATTCCAAAAATTACAAACACAATTACAAAATTGGAAACCAAAGGTAATGCGTCTGTCACAAATAGCCAGGCACAGGTGAAGGAGGACAAGGATGCAAGTGCAAGTATACAGGGTTTAAACTGTACTCCAGGACCAAAATCGGGGAACCCTGTTCTAGACTCTGGAACACAACGGAAGCCAGGATAAGATACAGGAGTTGGAAACAGGACTGGGCTGGGATTCCACTGTCTGGCAGGCCACCCAGTCTAGGTGGCTCAAACCAGTCAGAACATAGTTGGTATCCACCTGGGGTCCCCACATTTCCAGCCTGTGGGGGGAGGCCTGAAAGGGGCTAAAGACAACATAGGAATATTGAGAACACAAGACTGGGGGGTATACGACTGCAGGACCAGACAAAAGAGGTCTTGCAACGGACAACAACAGGACTCCAGGACAAATAGGACATGAAACATGACTCGTCGCATCCTTTGGTTGGAGTCAAGTATTCTGTGAAAAATTGCCATGCAGATGTGAAGGGAAACAAGGATGTGGGTGAAAGTCCACAGGGTTTAATGTACAAGGCACAGCAAAAATTCAAGGGGTATCTGGAAAGAGACGATGACAACCACCAGCAACAGCAAACATGACAAATGCCAGACTAGCAAGCCAGAGCCTAAGCCCTTACGTGTAAAGGGAAAACACAATTGCAACATATGAGCACAGTCAGGGCAGGATAGTTGGTAATTACTAGACCCAATGCTGGGCAAACCCAGTAGGTAGGCCAGGGATCTGTATCATGAAGCCAAATTTTTGGGTTAACAAGATAATGTGTTCGATTTAAATTAGCCTGGGCCAAATGTAAGTGAACAAAGATAATGCCAATTTAGACTAGGATACCTTAAAACTGACAAGTTATCTAGCTAACCAACAAACCTCACTTTGCGATACAGACCCCTGACAGTGTCTGATGATGATGTGTCTGAAAAGCAAAGCCTAAGGGATGTTTATTTGCACATTGTGAAAATAAATATGTAAAATAAATAAAAATTCAAAATAACAATCATAATCTGTAGTGATTAATTTAACACCTCTATTGCCATAATTCTTTTTTTAGTCTGGTCTGAATTTCCTGGCACAAACATCTTAAATGCCTTGCAGAGGTTTTTTCCATCTTGCTCCAGCTGTAAACACACTCAGATAATGTCTCAAATGAGCTAGCGTGTCGCATGTGTTTCCAGCAACATACCCGAATTTGCTATAACCAGCCAACAGACAGTCTTGGTCTTATCAACTACACTCTCTCTCCAGTGCTGGTGTAATTTATTGGCAATCCAATCTTTCCAAACTGCCAGTTATGCCAGACTGTAGCCAGCTTTACTCATATCCAACTCACGGTCACAATTAGCATAATATTTTCTGTATTGACCATCTATTTGTGAATTTAGGGACACCCGTATCAAGAAATGTATTTATTTGTTTCATTGTGCTTTCTGAACCAAAAATGACATAAACAATCAGCACATGAGGAATACATGTGTGTGGATTATGTTTATATTACATTGTGGAGACCAAATGACCCCCACAAAAAACAGTTATTTCGACGTTGTGGGGACCATTTTTCATTATTAGTGTATATACTGTATGTTCTTGCTTGTGTCTAACCCTATAGTTCGGTCATTGAAGCTGTTTGTTTTAGCATTGGTGGTTGTCAGTGTTAGTGATGCCCCATCTCTTGTGTCATTAATTAGTGTGCCCTACGTTGAGTTACCCTGTACCCCGTCCTAGTGTTAGTTTTCCCTTGATTGCCCATTGGATCACACTTACCTCCTGTTCTGTCCCCAGGTTGTCCTTTTGTTTCTGTTTGCTTGTACTTGGAGTTCAAACAAAAGCCCTTCATTTCCTCTAAGGCTGTACCTGAATTTCCCTCCATCCTATGGTGATATAGGAGTTGAACACTGCATATAATATAACACTTGTCTTTCCTGATGTATACAAGCCTCCTTACACCAACCAAGCCTAATGAAGAGGGAAGAAAACAAACTTTATATCATATTTGGGCATAATTCTAGTTAATTTTTTTTATAAATGCACTATATGGACAAAAGTATTGGGACACCTGGCCTTTATACCTACAGGACCTTTTATGACATCACAGTCTAAATCTATAGG